TGACAATCGATAAAGAATATTTTAAAACAAGCGATCGAATGTATAGAAGAAGACTTTTAAGAAAAACAATAAATAAAAAAATTTTAATGCCATTTTAATGCCATGGAAACAAATTCGAATTTTTCAATTCTAATTATAAATGTCTTCTTTAAGTAAAATTGTTTTTTTTTCGTATTAGTTTTCAGTTTAAAAATATTTTTAAAAAAATTAAGTATCTTTCGGCAAATTTGTTACACTTTGTTTGCAAACGATTCACCAAATTGACTTCATTCATTAGCAATAGCACAGAAAGTTTCAAACCCGCTTTACATACATTAACTTAATTTTATTTTATTTTATTTTTTTTCTATCTTTTCAAGTAATTCTACTGAATTTTTTTTCTTTTCATTTGTACTCGAGAAGATAAACTTCTTTAATTTGACTTCTTATCCCAACAAGAATGATTAAGGTATACAATCACTAAGAAAACATTACTTAGATGGCATATCACTTCACTGTACAAACTTTAACTCGTTAAACTCAAAAACCAAAGTTAAATAAATGTTTTCTTTTCGGATATAAATGTAATTTTTCCTCTTTTTCTCCCCTTACAAATTATTATTCTATTAAGATATTTTTTCATTTGAAAAAAAAAAATATATCTATATAGTTATTTAGATAGGTTCATTATTATTATTATTATTATTATTATTTATTATGATATTAAAGATGTAATCATCTTTATCAATAACAAATTGCCTAAATATTTAGACATGTAATAAAGGGCTATGTGTAATAAGTTAACAGTAGATAGAATAATTTACTTATGATCATTGCATGGATCACGCTGTCTTAATGATAAATAGGCAATACTAAACAGCAGTAGATAAGGATACACTTACAGATAACCTTACTAAATTGCTGGTTTATTGGATAGGCAAATTAAATGGTAGATTTAATAGCAACAATAAATCTTTATGCACCTTGAAAAGAATTTTCCATTAATGTATTGTATAATTTCCTATAACTAAAGTGATTCTTTGTGTATATATATATATATATATATATTTTATTTATAAATCAATTTATCATTGTTGCTACTTAATTAGGTTATATACGTGTATGAATTTAATTATTTTTTAAAATAATTTTCGACGAATTTATTTACGTTAAATTTTAAAAAAATTGTTTTTTTTTAATATTTAAATTAACGTTTTATTTTTTAAAAATTAATTATTACTTTACAATTTTAAACTGTAATAAAAACTTTGAAAAATATTTAAAGAGGAAACATATAACTCACAAACACATACGTATATATATATATACACACGTATATACAAGATGGAAATAGCAGATACTCTGATGAGTAGGATGATGGANTAATTATAATTTTAAATATACAGTAGAACCTGCATAAACAGGAATCGCATGGTACATATACACTATACATACAAAAGGTACACAGACCCAATAAAATTATATTATGGTTTTATATGTTATAAATTGAATAAATTCGGCATTTAATATACTATATATTGAAGCTAATAAATGAAAATATTAACAAATGAAATAAAATTTTCTTTAAAAAGATTAATATATATTTCATCGATGGTGACATTTTCGATAAAAGACTTATTAATTTCTTTGCCACTTTTGGTTTGAAGAAAAGTGAAGTCATTTTAAAAATGACAAATGCCTTACTCATAATAAATGACTTCATTATTTACTAAACCCATTTCAGACTTATTAAACTTTGCGAAAAATTGATTAAAGTTATCCATTGAATAGAAAAAAAAGAAGAAGAAGAAGAGGAGGAGGAGGAAGAAGATGCATTGATAACTCTTCAAATAAATTGCAAATTTCTTTAAGTATTTATCAATATTTTTAATTATGAATTTGAAAATTTTATGTATTATACACATAAAAATAACAATAAAATCATATTTACATCAATATAAAACTAATTTAATATATTATGTGAATATTAATAAGTAGGGTGGTCCAAAAGTCAGTTAACCATCTCCAATTCTACCTTTTAATTGTATTTTTATTAATTTTATTGTAAATTCAAGTTTACGATTCAATTTAATTTTACATAACAATACGATTTATATATAAGAGTTGTTTTCGTTTCTTTAATTGTCTAACAATAAATTATTATTGTAGTGAAACCTGTTTAGAACGGATGCGAAGATACCAGCTAGAATATTATGTTTTGGCAGATTTTCGTTTTATACAGGGTATTATCTCATTTCCGCGTTAGACAGGTTTCTGGTTTATAACAGTATATTATACACCAAATCGTTCATTTATAGATTTTTAATTTAAGCGTATTTCTGTTTTGTAGCGTGGTCGTTTTTAAACAGGTTTAATTGCAATAATAAATAAATTTTTGCTCGAGTTTTAGCTGTTTTTACTACTTTACTACTTAATAATTGATTGTAATTAGACAATTATACAGAATTAAGGTGTAAAAATTAGAAAAAAAAAATATATATATATATATATATATTTAAAAAGAACAACAAGGCATGTTTCTTATGTTTTTATTTATTTTCAACAGCATATCTTTAACAGTGAATATCACCACGATGTTAATATCTCCAGTACATAAATCCTTCAGTTCTGATGCTAATCTAATGCTTATGCTAATACCCTTTACTAAATTTGCATCATTCTCCTTTCACTTTGATATTAACTTATTGTCTCCGTTTTTTTTAAATCCGATTAATTATCACCGAATTTTTTTTTTTAATATTCTACTTACTTTTCATGCACATTTCCTCATTTTATGGCTATATACAAAGCTACATATAAGTAGAAACTTTCTCCATCAGTAATATTATTTTTCTTGTAAATTTTTTTTTCTCATAAAGAATTATTTACTTTTCAAAGGCCACAATGAGAGCACTTACCTTGAGTCCAAATTCTTCAAAATATATATGTATATATGTATATATATTATTATTATTACTATAATATTATAATAAATTAAAAATAAAATATAAACCACTCAACAAAAATAATAATAATAATAAGTAAAAATTAATATAAATGTATTTCTTTTGTTTATAACAAGAAGTACTTTTTCTCATTTAATCTTCTGAAAAATCACAAAACTTTATCTTCTTTTTTTTTTGATAGTTCTTGTGTTTACACTTATGCAGAACTGACGGAATTCTGGCTGGATCTAATTCTTCATTTACTCACATCTGATATATATATGTATTCTTTTTTATGTGTTGTATATATATAATATATATATATATATATATTAACATCTATAGAGTTTTGTGAATGTTTTTTTTTTCCTTTGTAGGCTTTTACGGTACTCATGCAGAAATGACAAACCCACAGAGGCTTACATAGAAAAAAATCGTTTTAAGGAAATGTGTTTTAACATCGAAGCATCACTACACGATATAAATTCATAAAAATGACTGCAGTCAGCATCACATTCACGCACATACATGCATACACACATATACACACGCACGTACTAAAGGATGGAAATCTTCGAAGACGTGGTTTATAGTACAACAGTTTTTTTTTTTTGGTTATTTTTTTTTCTTAAATGTTTGTCGTAGTTCGGTCGAATTTCACTTTTATACTTTTTCTTAACGTAGACATTTGGATTCGTGTCCGGTTTTTACCCGCTTCCACAGCGACGTTGTCAAAAGAGGAAGCACCATAGAGAACAATCATAAGGACAACATATGCCAAGAACCATCTGGGCAGTGTTTGTCGTAATGTTTGAGTCGAAGTTATATTGTTTTGTTGTTGTTATTGTTGTTGTTTTATTTTATTTTATTATTATTTTTCCCCTCTTCTTCCATCAGTGTTGACGGAATTCCGATATTGTTTCACGTCACCTGTAGAATAAGGCTAGAAGCAAGAATGTTGCAGGTGACAACGTCACTCGAGCTGATGATGTTGATTTGGAAGCATTGGCATCGTGTTGCATGGCTGCAGGTTGTTCACCTGTAAAGTAAACTAAACTTTAATACCAAAATCTTAACAAGTATCTAATCAATTTTGACAATTAAATTTAATTAAAATATTCGACATTTTTTAATTAAGAATTAAACAATGATACATACAAAAGTGAAGATTTTCGTGTAATATTCGTGTAAATATTTTAACTGAGATAGAATAAGTTTTTATTTGTATACAATTATTTAAATTATGTGATTTTTAGATTAAACTGATTTTTTTAAACAATATAAATAACATAAAATGCCATTTCTCATGGGATAATGAAATAATTATTCTGCTTGTTCTTGTAAAGTTGCGAGTATTTGTACAAACAAAATGCACGCTTTTTAAATGAGATGTATCGATATCTCATGGGAAATTTACTCCTAATTGCTTGACGGAAGTACTGTTGTTTTCTTACAATTACCATTGCTACCGCAACAAGAAAAATTACAATTTTGTAATTTTCTTCCTGCTGTAACAATGGTAACAGTATAAATAAATTTGTTGTTACGGTAAATATATATATATA